GGTGCGCGGCCACGTCGCTGCTGTCCCCTGCGTCCCCCCCGTTCTGCAACAGAGCACACAGTTAACGGGGACAGCAGGGATGCAGGGGGCCCTGCTGCGATGGAGGGAAGAGCAGCAGCAAGCCCTGAGCCACGGGCTGGTTGCAATGCCTGGGTGATGAACCAGAGCGCAGAGCCGATGTCGTGTCACTGCACGCAGGCTGCTGCCCAAGAGCTACTCTCCCTTTTGGTGCCCACATGTTAAAAGCAACATTAAGAAGTTGGAAAGGGGACAGAGAAGTGCTAGGAGGGCTGGAGAAAACCCCTTGCAGCAGTGAGGTTAAAGGACATCCCTCCCCTGCCCGGCTTATCCCACACCGAGAGGTCACTCCACTGCACCACAGACCTTCTGGGGGGACACAAGGCCCAAGGAGCTTCATCTGGCAGCAGGAGGCAGAACAAAGGATGCTGGAGCTGGACAAATCCAAACTAGAAAGCAGGGATGCTTTCCAACTGGACAAGGGGATGTATCGTGGGAATAAACCACTCGGGAAAGCCATGAAGTCTCCACACTTCCACAGCCAAATTCTCCCATGGTTGGAGTTCAGGTAGAAAACCTGTGCCTCCTCTGGCCCCAAGCTGTCTGTGCAGAGGGGCACAGGGCCATGTGCCCAGCACCCCTCCCTGGGCACACCCCCAGCACTTCCCAGCGCATCCCAAGGGCCAGATCCTGCTCTCACCATCACCCCCTGGCTCCTCCATGCCGTCCCTGGTAGCGCCTTCCCTTCCCCTTTAGCAGTGCAGAGGAGGGTTGAGATGAAACACGTGCCCAAAAGCAGATCTGGGGATGCTGGTGCAATAGGGACTGTTACACCCAGGATGGAGGGATGCTGCTGGTGGGTCTGGGGGTGCAGCCGGAGAGTGGGGCTCCCCCCATGAGCTGCTGCAGAGCCAGGAAACCACGGGCGCACCCAGGAAGCTGCAGCAGAGGGATGGGCACGTCACACAGGGCAAGCACCAGAGCATGGGAAGCATCCAGCAGTGAGGCACCTGCTCTAAAACCCCTTGGGAAAGAGAGGGATTGTGTGAGGATGGAGCTGGTGGCTGCTGGGGACGGGGGGCAGCAGAGTCAAGGCGAGAGGAAAGAGCAGCTTTAACTCACTGAAGCAAAGAGGAAAAGTCCCAGAGCTGCTGCCAACCATCTGCAGGCAGCAGAAAACCACTGCAACCATCTCATTCTCTGCTCTATTTTTAGTGCTGATAAGAGCTGAAGTGAGACCCGGAGCCAGACGGGCGCCCAAAGGTGGGAGACACCAACAGCCACGTGCCAAGCAGAGGGGGCACAGAAGTGCCAGCCCCTGGGATGGGTCAGTCCCTTTGGCTTTAGGGTCCCTCTGCCCCAGGCACCTCGGTGGGGGATGTGGATGGTGCGGGATGATTTGTAGCCTCCTCCTCCCCACACCACCTCATCTCATCACACTTCAGAGCAGGACAAAGGAGAGGTGGGACAGGGCGCTAAGTGCAGCTATTTATACACAGTGGTGTCGAGTGGGGAAGGGTTTGCAGGCACCAAGCTGGTTTCCAGAAATGAAAGTGCAAACCAGCAGCCCAAACCAGCGACTGCACAGAATCCCAGAGTGGTTTGGGTTGGAAAGGAGCTTAAAATCATCCAGTTCCAACCCCCTGCCATGGGCAGGGACACCTCCCACTAGACCATGTCACCCAAGGCTCTGTCCAACCTGGCCTTGAACACTGCCAGGAATGGAGCATTCACCACTGCTCTGGGCACCCTGTGCCAGCGCCTCAGCACCCTCACAGGGAAGAGCTTCTGCCCTAGATCCAACCTGAACTTCCCCTGTTTCAGTTTAAACCCATCACCCTTTGTCCTATCGCTACAGCCCCTAATGAAGAGTCCCCCTCCAGCATCCTTGTAGACCCCCTTCATGCCACCTTTGCTGCTCATTCCCATTAGGAGTGGCTCTTAAAGCATGGGAAACGGAGCCACCGAAGCAGGGTGCTGGCGTCGCAGGGATTTCAGCCCCGGGAGCGGGTGCTGGCAGCTCACCTGGTTGATGGAGATGGGTGTGTGGACCACCACCCCCCCGATGATCTCAGTTTTGTAGGCGACCTGCGGCTTCCTCTCCTGCGCCTGGGGCACCACCGGAGGCTTCGTGATCTCTGTGGCCAGCGGGACGCTGCCGCCCTTCGGCACCTATTGGAGAAGGAAAGGGGTGAAGGGCTCACGTGTGACCATCACCTCTGTCCTCCCAAGCTAAATGAAGCAACGTCCCTATAAAACCCGCTACAGGAACAAGCCACCCCAATTAGGGCGGGTGTGGTTTGCAGGAGGCGAAGATGGGAGAGGAGAGGTGGGAACAATTGGGCATCGCCTCACATGAGCCTGTGAGTCGCCTCTGACGCTCAACGCCTTTGTGGGACACTTGCTCCTTTAATTGTCCTGCTCTAATTACAGCCTGGCTTAATGATGAGCCCCATGTGGCTGAGCTGCGGTGTCTGCAGGGGGTTCACACGCCGAATCCTGCGTGTCCTGCACCAATACGCGCTCAGCTTGGTGCTGAGGTTGTGGCATTTATTTGTGGACCAAAGAAGCAAATAGAAGCCAGGTCTGCTCTTGCACATTGGTTTCCCCACAGGGACTGCACCACAGTGATTTTAAACCAAGAATAAAGGTATTTGACAGGCCCCAATCCTCAATTGTTTGCCATGATTTTTCCTTCGTGCTTCAGCGCATAGTCTCATAAACCCCTGCTAGCATTAAGCTTTGCAACACAGCTAACCGCAGTTACACAGATGCCTGCAGCACCCCAGTCTTTCCCCAGGGACCCCCTATACCCAGGTCCTGCTGGGGGGTGCCCCAGTGTCCCCGGCCAAGCATCAAACTCAAATGGTGCCTCTGCTCCCAGTGCATGGAGTGGATCCCAGCAGCATCCCCCATCGCCAGGAGCAGTGGGTGGCTGAGGAGCACTGGTGCTGGGTCAGTGACCTTTAATTCATGGTTATATGAACACGGCAGTAAATGAGAGGAGATGGAGGACAAGCTCCTCTGATGCAGGCACCGTGATGCCCAGCAGCTCAGGGCATTGGCAACAGCTCATCACAAGCCCCCGTGATCCAGAGAGAATGAAAATGGAGTAAATAAATGAGTGGAGCACAAGGAAGATGCCCTTGGACAGCCACAGCCAGGAGTGAGTTACTCATGATCCCTCCAACAGGAGGGAAATGGCCCTGGAGCAGGCGGGATGGGGATGGCTCCAGCAGGACCTTCCCCAGGGAACAAGCCACTGTCCCCCACAGCAGCTGGGCAGGGAGGGTGAAGATGCAGGAGCAACCAGCAGCAAAGTAAACCCCAGCCAGGAGGATCCCTAGGGATGGGGGGGGAATATCTGCGGTCTGAAGGCAGACACTTGAGAGGGGTCACCACAAGAGAACCAACCAGGTTGGAAAAGAGCTTTAAGAGCATCAAGTCCAACCTTTATCCCAGCAGTGCCAAGGCCACCACTAACCCATGTCCCCAAGTGCCACGTCTACCCGGGGTGTGAACACTTGCAGGGACAGTGACTCCAGCCCTGCCCTGGGCAGCCTGTTCCAATGCCTGAGCACCCTCTGGGCAATGAATTGTTCCTCAGCTCCATCCAAACCTGCCCCGGGGCAGCCTGAGGCCGTTACCGCAGCAGGCTCTGAGCCAGCAGCCCATCGAGGCAGGACCCAGCAGTGTCTGATGGAGCAGAACCCAACGTACCGTGATCTTACTGGCCCGGTTCAGTGCCTCCACCCAGTCCTGCAGGTCCTTCTGGTCACTGGCTTGTAGGAAGTAGCGCTGAGATAAGGCGTTGATAACTATGGAGAGAGGAGCCAGGGAATCCGGTGCTTCCCGTTAGTACGACAGAAGGAGCAGTGAATCAAAGAGCTTCTCCCAGCTCCATTCCCAGAGCCATTTCCAGGTATCGGTCTCAACCTCGCGCATGGAAAAGCAGCCAAGGCGGCAGTGGGGATGCAGCAGTTGGGCACATCCTTGCACCAGAGCTTAGGGAGGTTCTGGGCTGAGGCCAGGCTCAAACCAAGGCTGTGGCACAGCCCAAGCTAGGACTTAGCCTCGTGCTGAAGGCAGCCCCTTGCACAGGGTGTTTGTGGGCCCCACAGGACCTCCTTCACTCAACACTTGGGTTCTGACATTGGTGTGAACCCCAGCACGGGGATGGGCTGCGCGCTCTGGTCTTCACCTTGGGCTACATCCCTCGTGGTAAAGTGCTGCAGAGGCAACGCCGTTCCCCTGGGACAAGTATGTGCTTGTGCTGCCATTTCTGTTGCTTTAAACCCAAGTTCCTGGCTCATACACGAAGCAGAGGGTTGGGCTGAGGCTCTTCGGTGGGGGAGGATGGGATACAAAACCCCAGTTCCATGCACCAACAAGAACAGAAGCTGATGCAGGCATTAGAAAGGAGAACCCTGCGTGCACAAGGCAGCGCAGCACATGGGACACATGGAAGGGATTGGGAAGCACGGCACAAGCAGGGAACCATCACGGAGGGGATCCACATGGTCCTGCCCCCCCGCCCCAGGCAGGGAGGTCACAGTGACAGGACCAAAAGGGAGCATCCCCCTCCCTTCCCGACCACAAGGACACTGCTGGCAGGTCCCGTGGGCATGGGGAGGGCGCTGGGGGGGCACCCGTAGCACAGCACCCACCGGGGTCCCCTCACTCACCGAAGCAGAACGGGGTTTTGGGCTTCTGTTTCGGGGTGGCGACGCTGACCTGCAGCAGGGCACACGAAGGAAAACATTAAAGGTGATGGGACGTGATTACGGCACACGGGAGAGCTGGAAGCTTCCATCCACACCCCCAGGACGGAGGGGAAGCCGCCGGTCCCCAAGCTCCAACCCAGGCCACGCTCCCAGTTCCTCCAAGCCCCCGGCAATGAGCATGGGGCCAGGGGAAGGCCAGTGAGGAGCTGGCGCTTTCCTCTCCCGCTGGCCCCCTGCTCTGGAGCACGGGGGCTTCCAGAGCCTCCAACAGGCGGGTTTTGCTGGATTCACACAGCCGCTCCGGTCAGCAATGAGGAAAATTGAGGGAAAACAGCAGCGGTTTCTCCCTGAGGAGCAGGAATCGTTTCTATAAGGATAATATCCCCTCCGGGGCTCCAAGCACAGCATTCATGGAGTGTTTATTCTGACAGGCTTCCTCCTCCAGGGCTGCTCTGTGATGCCTTGTATACGTTTTCCCAAGCAAACCTCCACTCCTCTGGCATAGTCACCGCTGGCAGCTAAAGCCATT